GAGAGAAAGAGAGAGAGAGAAAGAGAGAGAGAGAAAGAGTCGCGAAAGGTAGATTCCGATTTGGAAGCATGGCGGCGAGCAGCAAATGTCCATTCAAGAGCGACGACAGCACCTAGGAAAAGTTGCCAGCAAAGATGCCCAGCATGGTCACCCAGGCACCGCGGCCGAGCGACTCGATGCCCTCCTCGTCGACCATCTTGTTGAGGCAGTCCACCAGTCCCTCGTAGCGCTGGACCACGGGGGCGCCAAACTCGGCAGCGGCCTCCTCTGCAGTCTGCTCGTCAATGGGTCGGAGGGCGATGACCGGCTCTGGTGGCTCGCCGCCCGAAAAGGTTGGCCGCGTGTAGGTTGCCGCAGCGCCATTGGTGGTCGCACCGGCCGGGGCCGAGGAGCCAGAGACCTGGCCCAGGACGCGGGACGCCTTGTCGCCGTTGCCGGAAGCCTTCGATTTGGACCCGCGCTCCTGTCCGTCCTCGTCATCCTCGTCGTCCTCGTCTTCGATGGCAAACGACGGACGGCCCGGCTGGTCGCCCGGGGACGAAGGCAGCGGCTTGTCGGCGCCGTTGCTGTCCGTCGACTTGCGCCCATCGACGGCGTCCTTGTAGGCGCCTCCGGGCTGCATCTGTGCGGCGGCAGTGGACTGGTGCGAGTACGGCGACGGGGCCGCAGAGCTGCCGTTGGCGGTGGGCACACGGGCATACGCGCGATGCAACGGATTCTGGCGTTCGGGACGCTGGGTGGACAGGCGCACCAGCACACACTCGAGCGGCGACAGAACCAGCACGCTGAGCACGTTCCACACGATAAAGATGGGCAGACCGATGGGGCTGAGCTCGAGCATGTTGGAGTTGGGGCCCGAGTAAGTGTCCTGATCCGGGCCGGCAGGCGTCGCACCGGGGAGTCCGCCGAGCGAGGGCACTGTGAGCTGCCGGACGATGCGCGTTGCCAGGCCGATCCATGCGACATGAGCAATGTTGGCGGCCAGTAGACCGGGCAGGAGGTACAGTCTCCACGGCTGGCTGAGCTCGGTGTACGACAGTAGCTCGCGGAGGTTCTCTCGAGGCGTGTTGAGCGGCAAGATTCGAGGGTGCACAATGGTTCTGTATGTTGAGGAAGGACAAGAAAGCAGGCGCATGGAGGCATGGTCAGTGTCAGCGCAGGCTCCATACATCCCGAAGGGGTGGGTCATCGTAGGAAGAGGGCTTTTGGTACACTTACCGGTGAATGATGACGTTGAGAGGCAGAGCAACGACAGCAACAAAGAGCATGTAGAAGAGGTTGCTAAAGAAGCCAAACTGGCCGGGACCCGAGGGGCTCGCTTTGTAGGTTCCGCCCGCGGCCGAGGTGACGGCGCCCGAGAAGAAGAGAAAGGTGAGCGAGCTGAGGGTGAGCAGCTGGATAGCGACGGGCGCCGAGCCCTTGTAAATGCCAGCCCAGCCCTCGAGACGCTTTGTGCGCATCATCATCTGGAACACGCCGGTGACAACGGGGCCAATCTTGGCCGACGAGCGTCGCTCGGAGAGCAGGAAAGACGAGAGAGCGCGCGGGCTCGAGTTCGTGGCACCGTCCTCGAGCACATTGTCGAGCGATACGGCCTTGGGCAGATAGTTGGCTCGCAGACGAACGATGGCGCCATTGAATGGCTGCGAGATACCGACCGAGATGCCGATCGAGAGCGCAATGGCAAAGATAAAGGCGAAGAACTCCATAAACATTGTGAGCGTACTGAACGTAGCCGCGGCCACAAGCAAAACACCAGAAAGAGGAGGAGAAGGGACTCGAAGGTTCGCGTATGAGGAGATAGCAAAAGAAAACAAGAAAAAAAAATGGGAAGCGTCGGGAGAGTAGCACAGGGCCTTGCAGAGACCTTTATCGGGATGGAGTATGCAGGAGGAGCGTCGTCAAAGTCCTACGGGGTCGTGTCAATGGCAGCAGGATGGCAAGAGATCGCGGCTAACCACAGAGAGATGCAAGAGGCCCACTCAATCCTTCAAAGTCTGGTGTAGACGCGCAAGTGAGAGCGGCAGTCTCAGGGTGTGAGCCGAGTCACAGACGGATCGATAGTCTGGCCAAACGGGTTCTGCGCAGCGGCGGAGACAGAGCCAGTGCGTGGTCGTGGGTGTTTGCTAGAGAAGCTAGCAACGTGAGTGGAGGTGGTAAAGGTAGCCGAATTGGTTTGTTACGTTCGGTCGTCGATGAGTCTGCGCTTGTGCTAGGCGTGTCGTTGGTTGCAGTCGAGCACCTATGTTACAGAGGAGTGTCGACGTCGACGTTTGAGTCGGGCGGCTTGCTGTACGATTGAACAGAGCGATCACTGGGCTGTGTGATCACGGTTCCGTGTCGGTGTGGTGGAAGTTGACGATTGCCGGTGCGAAAAGGAAAGACAGCATCCATGAAGGAACGAGCTTGTGGATCGGCGGCAGTGTTGGGTTGGCTGGTGCTTTGACTGCAGCAGCTGTATTGTAAGTGTACGGTACTGTACTCTACGGTACTCTCTACTGTAGCTCAGAGTCCGACTGAGCTTGGACAGCGTGCCTGACGAAAGGGCATGGAGGCAAATTGACTGAGCCGTGCTGTGGTAGAAGTCAAACGGCTGCCGACAGCGGCAGTGCCACACCGATGCACGCGCAATCCACGACCCTCGCGCCACCCTGATTGACACCGCAAGTACTAAACAGTGCAGTGCAGTGCCGTGCCGCGCCCCTGCGGTTGTTGTTTATTGCTGCTGGTGTTGCTCTTTCTCCTTGCCAGGACACCACAGTACAATCTGACACAGACTACGCGGTGCTTTGCAAGAGAATCTTGGTCCCAAGCAGCTAGCCAGTTGGTGCTCCCCCCATTTCGAGTCCCAGAAACAGAGTTTAAAAAATAATTTTTTTTTTTTTTTTTATATCAATTGCATTACGAGCAGGTAGGGGAATATGTACAGAGCAGCGCAGCTCGGGCCGACGCAGATACCAGCAACCCTCTGGCCCGAGATCCGGCCTTGCCTGAGAGGAGTCCTCCAGGCAGCGGCGTTCGCCTTGGGTCCTCACTAGGAGGTCAAGGCGGGAGAGGGAAGACGGGGAGGGAGCTGCGGGTAGCTGGAGGGCTAGAGTCGGCCGCGGAAAGGGCGCACGCTCCTGGCGTGGCCTGACCTGTGCGAGAGCTGCTCAGTGGGGACAACTAAGAGGGACTACTTGTAGGTTAAGGCTGGAGAAGGACGGTCTAAGTTTGAAGCTAGGCAATGGCGGTGTAAGCTTGAACAAATAAAAAAACGACACCAACAGGATTTGAACCTGTGCTCCCAGAGGGAATGGCATATACTGTTTGGTGAGTAGATGATTTACTCTAGAGCTTGGAAAAGTTCTAGTGCCACGCGATAACCACTCCGCCATAGTGCCTTAGATGTATCAACATGGTGAATATTACACATATGATTAAACTGTCTTTGGTGCGAACAACCAAACTAAAGATCATGTCACAATCGGATGATACTTTCGATATGAGGGATGTCCTTACGACAAACACCATGATGCGATCTCACAAATCGTTCATGCTGGCATAACAATACACTACAGAGCCACGATTTTCGTAGATCCGCTATGGCCAACGGTAAATGTTGAGCAATGGAGTTGGAAAATTCTGGTATCTCGATTGCAAATGGGCCCGATAACAGAGCCTGGAGTCATTCCATGGAGTGTTCCAGGACCTCGGCCAGATCGGCATCTCTTTTGTTGGCATTGTTGCCTGTACCAAAATATCTGAAGAGGTCGCAAACACACAGTAGTGTTCAATGCTAGAGAAAGTACTGCACGGCCTCGTACTTTGGATTTTGAGCCTGTTGCGCATGCTGATTTGGGCCGTCGCGTTCGTTTTCGGGAGCAGCCTCGAATGTGTTGAAATGCTTGGTACCGTCTGGCGACACCTCCAGGATGCTGGCCATGTTGCCGCAGCGATAGCAGTAGTTTGGCGCCGACCAGACGGTCGAGAGGCGGTCGTCGTAGAGTACGCTGAAACCCTCCATGCAGAGCTGATGGGCACGCAGGATGTGCGACATCTTGTTGCGCTCGAGAAAGTGTTTGACCACCGAAGCACCAAATGTGTAGCCGGCACCGCGGGGCGAGATGGCAAACTCCTCCTTGTCCGGATCTGGATCCGACCACACCAGATCCGCCATCGGGCCCTCGTGCGGAATCTCGCGGAAGCGGTCGATAATCTTGACCTGGTCAATGTAGTGCACCGAGGGCGATAGGCCCCCATGCACGCAGAAGATGGCGTCGTCGATCACGACCGAGAGCGTGAGAAAGTCAAACATGTCGGTAAAGTAGCCCCAGACATTGGCGGATCCATACTTGCGCTGGCACTCGGTGTAGAAGCCGTACGTCTGCGTCACGGCGCGCGACTCGTGGTTGCCTCGAATGAGTTGGACTCGATCCGGATAGCGTAGCTTGAGGCAGGTCAACAACGATATTGTCTCGACGGAAAAGAGGCCGCGGTCAACGTAGTCGCCGAGAAAGAGGTAGTTTGTATGTGGTGCGTACCCGCCGATGCGAAAGATCTCTATCAAGTCGTAAAATTGGCTGTATGACAGAAGGGCTCCAACACATTCGTTACGATGATGATTGATGGGGGGGGGGGGGAGCCCAATTCGAAGCAGTGTAAAAAGAGCGTCAAAGTCAGCGGGCAGGGTTGTGGAGTCTTGAATGATGTTGGGACAGGGTCGTGTCAGACTTACCCGTGGATATCACCGACGACCGTGACGGGAGCTGAAATGTGAACGACATTGGACTCGCGCATCAGAATCTCTTTGGTCTTTTCGCAAATCTCCTTGAGAAGCGCCTCGCCGAGAAGCTGCTTCTTGAGCAGGGTTGCAATGCAAGCGTCCAAGTCGAATGCCATCGTGACAAATGTCCGCGCTTGTAGGTTGGGGCTTGCCTCGAGATCGGACGGATGCAAGTAGGTGTGTGTGTGTTTTTTCGAGACAGGATGGCCTGCCGGTCGGCGCAGGTCAAAGCCTTCCAATGCTAGACTCGTTTACAGACCAATAGGACGATTCGAGGTGTTGTACGACGGCAACAATAGTCGTTGGGCACCGGTGACCGTCTATGCGCAAAGGCCGTCGTGCAGATCGAAGGGGGTTCGTTGGGTGGTCACGGGCAACTGGTTGTTTCCCAAAACGAGGAGCACGAGGAACGTTGGCGGACGATGTCGATGCGATGGACCCTTGCTATGCTTGTTGTACAGGTGGGTATAATGCGAGATAGAGATTGCGACCGGAACTTCGAGTTATCCTTGGGAAAGCGGGTCGTTACTTGAGCGACATGCAGAACGGAAGGAGTGACTGGAAGAGTACGTGTCCCTTGAAGAATGGAGGAGCTATCGCAGCTGTTGCCTTTTTGGGATCTGCGCTTTCCTCTGATCGAGCCGGACAGGTGCGCGAGGAGGGATGCGCGAGCAGATGAGGACGACTGCGGAAAAGAGCTAGCAGAGGTACACCGAATCTCGGACCGCTTATGTTGATCAGCGGTGGGACAAGATAGACCGAATCAACCCTACTTGGCCTCGTCAGTCGGTGAAGCGCTTTTCCTGATATATTGATGTATGCTGTTGCTGCCACGCCAAGGTATCGCCAGCGAGTAAAGTCAGTCAAGGCGATTTCCCAACGATGTATGCCTTACTTGTCAGGTCCAAGTTGCACGAATCGAATTGCCCGGAGGATCTGGGCGGTACAGAATGGGTTATGAGTTTGCACGACGCAAGAACAATTCGGCCAGCTGGTGGCGATGACGGCGATAGTGTCGAGCGATGGTGGCAGATAATCGCATTGGTCAGGGGGTCCAGAGAGCTTCTGGGCCACCGGGAACGCAAAGGTATGGAGGCGAGGCAGTACAGTACGTCAATCCTTTATTCGCTCAGCCCAGGCCGCGGTTGGCGTGTGCGGAGGCACGGCTTTCGGCGATTCACATATATATATTTTCGTTGTCGCTCAGAATCTGCATCCCGAATTCTTAGGTCTAACATTTATTCTCCCTTCATCTGTCGGTCTGCACAGGCTTTCCAACGTCGTCCTGCGTCGAGCCCGCTACCGTTTCAAGCTCTGCCTCACAGACTGGGATACCGAAAATACAACACATTCAACGTGGCGGACAAGATGTCAGAGAAGAGAGGAATCATGATTGATGCAAAGTCAGGATGAAGAGCACGAAAAAAGGGGGAAAGAGTGAGTGCGCGGCCGGCGCATGCAGAGCGAGAGAGAGAGAGAGATAGAAAGAAAGAAAGAAAGAACGAAAGAACGTAGACAGGATCAAACAGCGGAGGCGATTGCCCAATAGATGGAGCTTGATGGAGCTTGTTGAACTGGAAAGGATCAAGAGCTGAGCTGAAAGTGCAGGAGAAACGACAGTGTGACCCGCCGGGGGTATGCGGTCTCGCCGCCGGCGAGAAAGAGGCTCGGTGGCAGCAGACGGAGAGAGGCGAGGACAGAAAGGGGGGGGGGG